CTAGCTGTGATATTGTACTATAGTTTTTCAGGTTATGACCACTAGGGATAAAGGACACATGGGATCTCTCTGTAGTATTTATTAAAAGTGCAAGTCAGGCAGAGAAGGACAAATACCATATGTTTGCACTTATAGGAGGATTAGGAGGAACTTAACTGAGGACCAAGGGGGAGAAGAAGGGTTGAAATAGTGGGGGAGAGGGAGAGAGGCAAACCATGAAAGACTCTTGAATACTGAGAACAAACTGAGGACTGATGGGTGTGGGGGGGAGGGGGGTGATGGGCATGGAGGAGGGCACTTGTGGGCATGAGTACTGGGTGTTATATGGAAACCAACTTGACAATAAACTATTTGTAAAAAAATTTTTTTTAATTAAAAAATTTAAAAAAGTTTTAAAAATAAATAAAAGTGCATGTAAATTTACAATTACATTTATAAAACTTTCAGTTAATTGTTACAAAGAATTATATTCCTTATCTCATTTAAGTCTGTTTAGCAAAAGATGACTTGATCCTTAATATAATATGGCAGTTAGAAATGTAAACTTTGAGCCTGACAAACCTGAACTTGAATCCTGGCTCTCTAGCACTTTTTAATTGGCTGAGCTACTGAGCATCTCATGATTTTGTCTTTCTCATTAAGTGATTGAGGAGAATAATAGTAAATACCTCAAAGAGATTTGAGGATTAGATGAGATAGATCACGTAAATCACTTTCCCAGTGCTTGACATATAGGAAACACTGGAAAATATTAGTGGCTGTGATAATGATGATTATCATTACCATCATCATCACTATTATTACTTCTGTAATTAGAGCTCCAATAGGAATGCTTCATCATCTTCTCTTGGTCTAGATTCTAACTGCTACTGAGTATTTTGTCCTGTCTTTAATAAGGGGCATGTTGATTTTTCACATCATTGTTTAACTTGAAATAAGGGCAATTTTATCAACTGGAGCTAAATAATCACTGTTAATAAATATATTATAATAAATTATTGGAATTAATGACAGTGGCTTTGTGATCAAATTTTCTGGGTGCAAAATAAGAGAGAAGAAGGAACTGGAGCTGAACAATATATTATCCATACTCCAGAGTCACTCCAACAATCCACCTCTGAAATAGAAAATTACTTTTGGTTGCAGACCTCAAGATTTTCTCTACCCAAAGAACATACACACATGATTTCTCTCTTTTCCATCACTGAAGTCCATGTGATGTAGTGGAAAAAGCACTGGACATGGTGATGAGCCGGTCTGGACTCCATATCCAGCCCTGTCATAGATAGTGTGACCGCAATGCATGTCTTTTACCTGCTCTAGCCACCTGTTTCCCTGTGTATATTGTGAAGTTTGGATTAGATTAGTGATTCTCAGAGAGTGGGTCCTGGGCCATACTGCCCGCTTTACCTGGGTACTTGTTAGGAAAGTACATTCTCTGACCCCACCTCACACCTACTGATTTAGAGGCTCTGAGGGTAGGGCCTAGCAGTCTTTGTTTTAACAAGCCCTCTAGCTGAACTAATACACACTCAAGTTTGAGAAACACTGCCCTGAATTAAATTTTAGTTTAAATATTAGATCGTTGGACCCAGGTCCCAGAGTTTCTGATTTATAGATCTGGAGGAGGGGGACAGAGCCTGATAATTTGCTTTTTTAAGTTCTCAAGTGTTACTGATGTTACTGGTCAGGTATCACACTTTGAGAACTACTAGTTTTGGTCAGCTGTAAGCTCTGTTCCAACTCTGATTCCATCATTACTATTGCTTTCACAATGTCTTCTGTCCCCCTTCTTATTTACTTTACTGTAAGCTGCCTCTAAACTAATTGTTAGCATTGAAAGTTTCTAACATATCCTACTTTGTAGAGGGTGATGGACAGAAAGGAACTTCCCTAAATTCTTACAACTTATGTTAATATGAAACACCTACAGCTCTTTGGCATTGAAAGTGACCTTAGATGGTTTACTTAGTCATCTCATGCATGTAGCTAGTTACAAAAGAAGTGTCTTCGTACACCAAGATTCAAGAATTAAGGTCTGACGCTTAATTGCCATTGATCCCTTTATGTTGTCTTACGATCTGAAGAGTTTTGACACTAATATAGAAGTAAAATTATATTTTCATCCCAAGATGCTGTTTAATGAATAACACTAACAATCCAAAATTGCATTTTCAAATGATCCTTGTAATCCCACCTCTTCTATTTTATGGTTTTCTAGATACTTGGGATGGGATAACACTCTGTGTGGCTTCCTGTCTGCTAAGAACATAATAAGCCTCTGCCTGTTGAACTGAATTATTTAGTTCGTTCATATTTTCTTTTCTGAAGTAGAGTTATGGGTAAGAGTTGCTGTTTCTTGTGTGTGTGTGCGCGCGTGCGCACATGTGTGTGTTTTAGCAATTTGATAATTTTCTAGAATGAAATATGCAAACTACATAAGAGAAAAAGTAAGGCTCTGACATTTACTGAGTGCCTATTACATGCCAGTCACCATGCCACAAATGTTACTTTTCTGGTCTATTGAATCCTCACAATAACCATGTAAGGTAATATCATTAGCTTCTACATGAGGAAATAGACTCAGGAAGGTTAAGTAACTGTTCATGTTCACACAGCCAAGGGAATGGCAGTATGTAGATTTAAGTTCATATATGTTTGACAACAAAGCCTCTGTAGGCATTATAGATTCTGAACAAATATGTGGTGAACGAATGAATAAAGCAATGCTACATCACATTATCTTCCTAATGCGGAATTTGAAACAATCTGAATCATAGAGTTGAAAAGGCTCTCTAGGTCATTATCTAGTCAGGGGTTTAGTTATGCTTATCCTTTAAAGGATCCCTAACATGTGGGTATATAGCCTTTATTTGACCACCTCTAGGGAAATGACACATGTGACCTCTTTAATCAGAGTGATTGTTGAATAACTCATTATTGGAAAATTCTTCTCTACATTAAACTTCCTTAAAATCTCTTTTTTGAGTCTAGTTCTGCCCTTTCTAACTGCTCAGACTTAATCTGATTCTTTTGCCATGTGAAGATAGCCTTGTATTTTCTCTCTCCCAAGCTAAATAGCCCCCTTTTTCAGCTACTTCTCAAGATTCATAGCACATAATAATAACTTAATAAATGTTTGTTAAAAAGAAGGAAAGAATAAATAAATATGACAGCTATACTTCTCACTTGTTCCCCTTTAGAACACAAAGCTTCTGTGCTATGTTCTAGGTACATGCTAGGAACCATATTTCTAGAAGTAAATGAAATTATTTCTTTTGATATACTCTTGCACTGAACAACAATCCTACCTAAAAGAATGTGTTTTATTTTTTGACATAGAACAGTGCCCACATCTTTGACACCTCAGGTTTGCATCAGGTCACAGCAAGCTGGAGTTGAATAGCAAACCTAGTGCTTTTCTTCAGGGTTAAAGGCAAGACCTGGGCACAAGGGGATCAGCTCCAATTTACGCAGGCTAAGTTTGTACTCGAACGTACAAAACTCGGGCTTACCTCAGCTAAAATGATAGAAATAGCTGCCCAAAGCTAGTTTCTTTCACGCCCCACTGGCAAGGTAGTAATTGCACAAAGACCTTTTTATTATAAGTTGATTTTCCTGAGAAATGAATTCAGAAAAATACTGTATAGTGTTTATTTTTTGCTTGCCCTTTATTAACCCACATCTTACGGCTTTCCCTAGAGAAAAGCTGTTGGTAAATGAAACCTCTTAGACCCACACAGAAGCATTTTTGCACCATGTCCCTGGCTGTTGAGGGAACAGGGACAGGACAAGGCAAGTTGGCGCTGTGTAAACAGGGTCATCAGCCAGTGTATGGAATTTTGCCTAAAGAGAAGATTTTAAAATTTAAATGGGGGGAAGGGTTTGGGGTTGGTAGAATTACTGGTAAATGTTTGTAGCTTAAACAGGATATAATACAGCTTTTTTATACTTAGTAAAGAGCCCAAAGACCCAGTTTGAACTTAAGGAGCATCTCTGTTAGTGTATCCTAGTTTTGATCTTTAAATAACAAAAGTACTATAGTTTAACCTATGAAATCAGGCACTAAAAGCCAGGACAGAATCTTACTATGATACTATCCTGGAATCAGGGTAGCATGCATAGAGTGAAAAGAGGGAGCTAAGAAATTAAAATGTGATTTCACAGGCATGATTTTGTCATATCTCTTATTTTCTTTATATGGAATACAAATACTGATATAGAGTAAAGATTTTCTATTTTGCATTTTTGTGCTCTTTGATACATTTATTGAGGTCAAATGAAATTTGATATAGTAGGATTTATTATGAAATGCTCTCTGAATACAACTCCATAATTACTGAGCTACATGGTAGTGCATAAAGCTGTAAAACTTCTAAGCCAGACAAGCAATTTATATGTTACATCGAGGTGTGTATGGCAAAGAATATTAGTTTAATTGGGAGCCAAGATGTAGTAGCCTTAAATCTGAAGAGCTATATGTTTGTTTAACATAATGCGGTAAGGCTTTGAAATAAGATACCTAAACTGAGGAGATAAAGCATTTGGAATATATAACAATTAGACATTATTTTCTGACCAAGGACACTAAACACTGTTTTCCAAACAAAGGGCAGATGGAATGCAAAGCAGGTGAAAGAGCAAAACCTTTCAGCATTGCACAGTGTAAGAAGCAAACTTATTTCTTCCAGTTGTTTTGTTTAAGAAAAAAAAAGGAAAAAAGGAAAAGAAAAGAGTCAAGATAAAAGAAAAACCATTCACCACTATTTGGTAGAAACAGGGATGAGGCAAATTCACAAGGTTGTGTCCTTGGAGTCCTAATGGGATCTAAGAACAGGGATTTGCTAACTTTTGCCTGTGTTTTCTCAGGGAGCAGATTCGGAATGAGGTCAGAGGTGGGTGGCTGTTTGGGTACCAGCACACCAGCAGGAGTGAAAAACAAATACTTCTTGGCATACATTTGTTCTCTGTCTGATCATAGGCTCTCTTCTGTTTAGCAGGTTCAGGGTCACATGCCTCCGCTCATGATCCCAATTTTTCCACATGACCAGCGGACCCTGGCAGCAGCTGCCGCTGCCCAGCAGGGCTTCCTCTTCCCCCCTGGAATAACATACAAACCAGGTAAGTAGAGAGGAATTCAACATTCTTTTGGAAATGCTAAGATCCTCAATGTTTTTGCTTAGTAGTCACAACAAACACAGGAGCATACAAAGGAACTATGAATAAAATGATCATAAAGGCTGATTTTAAAGTCAAATTAGAACTGGAAAGTTAATTGGGAAGGGGGCGTGTTACTCATTTGTTGCAAAAAAAACTTTTACTTTCTCTTTTTCCACTTGGTTTGTTCTGAATTCATGGATAAAATGCTACTTTCCCTGGGGACCACAAATTTTTGTCAGCTCTCTCTCATACCTTTACTGTGAATAATTGTCTTTGGTTAAAGACACGTTCCTCCTCCTAAGAGCTTTTATGCTCTGGGAGAGTGATCACATACACTATAAAATGTTTTGTTGTTTGTTGTCTGATTTCTCCTGGAAGAAAAGTTAAAACTGGACAGATTTAATTAGTTCACTACTGATAGGTAAGATTCCTTTTGAGTTTAGTTTAAATAATGAAGCATACAGTAGTATTTTCTCATTCATCTTTGAACCTCAAAACAGGTCACATAACCTTGCAGTGAAATATGTTTTGAGATGATTTAGCAAATGTTATGATTTTTCTTTATTCCTCTGAGTTTACTGGACTCCTGGGGAATTCAATTAGGGACATAATGGTTTGAAGCTTCTTTCAGAGCCTCCTTGTAAACAGGGCTTTAAATGTTTAAAGATATGTTGCCAAAGGAATCCAATGTAAGAAGATAGTCAAGTAAATAAAGTCAACCTTAATTTCATTTGTGCATTCTTTGTAAGTGACCTCAGCTCAGAAGTAGTGACCTTGTTCTACTCATTAATAATTTCCGTGTCAAGTTCTTTTTAACATATTAACCTGATTATATTAACCACCAAATCTAAGTGCAGCAAATCTGAGCGCAGCGGCTTCTTTGTGTATGGGGTTTATAAAGTGAACAAAGGCATTTTAATGTGCTTAAAGTAATAATAAACTATAAATCACTCTACTAAAATCCTCAGTAAGGAAGCTTACTAAATAGCATCAAAAAACAAATCTAGTGAGTTTTAACACCTATTTTAATTGCTTCTTGCTATCGATTACTCTTTTGCATTTGGTAGATTACCATCTTCTTTGCGAGGAAAGGTAGGATGTCTGTCAAAACTTCTATCTTTTAAGGAATAGAGATGTTAAGGATTTGCTTCATTTAAGGATTGACTTTGAAAGTTCAGATACAAACTAGTCATACCTGGTATTACCAAAGATTTTGGGATACCTGAATGCAAGAAAATTGTGTTGTTCAAATTGTCAAAATTTGATTTTTCTACAGCAGGATTTTTAGAGCAAGTATTATTCCCTGTGAAATTTATATCTATATTAAGTACAGGATTATATTTTGTCAGATAATATGTTTCTATCAGTAGATTGGTTAATCCTTCCCTGGTTCAATCCTTCCCTGATGTCTCTAAGAAGTTCTGAAATATTTCTCCATCTTGACTTCCTTTGGAAAATTGATGTGACCTAAATTTACTGGTTTACCCTGAATCTGAGTAGTCATTCCTATTCTAGTCTTAGAACCCTTTTCAATGAACCATCTGTGAAAACTCTCTGTTTAATTTCAGTATTTCTACATTTAAAATTCTTCACGTTTAAAAATTGAGCGTGAGCCTTATTTTCTACTAGACATAACATCAGCATAGTTGACATGTTACTTACCTAATTTTGTTAAAACAATAATGCTGTTTTTCATGGGGGAATGTACTGTTACATAGGTAATGAATTTGGACCACTTTTTAAAAATTCCTCTTATATAGCATGGGTGAAATTGTAGTGAATAAAAAGAATATGGAGATTGATGGGTCGCCTGGGTGGCTCAGTTGGTTGAGCATCTGACTATTAATTTCACCTCAGATCATGATCCTAAGGTTGTAGGACCGAGTCCCATGTCAGGCTCCATGCTGAGAGTGGAGTATGCTTAAGATTCTCTCTTTTCCTTTGCTCCTCTCCTTTGATTATGGTGGCTAAAACTGTTGGTTAAGGCAGGCAGGACAGTGGGCCTTGACACATAGGACAATTTTTAATCACAAGCAAGGCTGACAAAATAAGATATTTTCTGTTGACCCCTAAGTTATGTCAGAAATTTTTATTAGCCAGAACTCTAAATACTTTAATATTTTCTGATCTAGGTTTTATTGCATATACAAATTATCCTTAAAATGATTAAAATTATGTTTTTATGTGATCAGTAGAGAAATTATGTACTCAGGAGACTTCATCTATGCAATGTTTTTGTCATTCACATGGATTGAAGGAGTAGAAGCATGTTAGACTGGAGTCTGGACTAGAAAAACTTTTTGCCCCAAACTAAACTATGAGAGTATCATTTGAAATACATGTAGAATAATGATTAGATGTTTTAGTTTATTTATTTATTTTGAGAGAGAGGGCAAGCCGGAGAGGGGCAGAGAGAGTGGGGTAGAGAAAGAGAATCCCAAGTAGGCTCTGCCCTGTTAGTGAGCACTGATACTGATATGGGGCTTGAACTCACAGTCCGTGAGATCGTGACCTGAGCCTAAATCAAGAGTCAGACGTTTAACCAGTTGGGCTACCCAAGCACCCAAGGACTAAATTTTTACAAGAAAGTAGCTCTGTCACATATAAAAGCCCTGAAATGGGGGTGTAGCTTTATATTTTGATATATAATATCAACAAGAAAATGAGCGATCACTATCTTGCTCTTATAAATTACAAAATAAATTACTCTGCTTTTGTACATTTTCCACCTTCCCATAACCTGAGACAGTTCCATAGTGTTGTGCCTTCAGTTGTTTAAGTAATTGTCTTGATTTTCAGAAAATGTGGACTACCTTAGGGTGATGTTCACTGTCAAAGTTGACTATTTCTGAATCCATTATTAGGACAGTCTAAACAAATATACTTAGGGCTGTGGACCTTTTTTCCTTCAGATAATCTGACCCATTGCTCTGGGCATATCAGTGTCCCTGTATTCAGTGAACACCAAACAAACTCTCTGACTTCCGGAGGTTGTTGAGGAGGCTTGTGGTCTACAGGGATTGTGCAGTTTCAAGGAAATATCTATCAGATTAATATCTGTAGACATAGATTTATTGAGTTTTAACCTTTAATTAACTTTTTTATTGGTTCTGTAATTAAAGACATCTTTCTAGAAAGGAATTAGTCAGGGCCCAGATCATACACCACAGAATTTTGGTTGTTTTGCTCTTTCACGTTACGAAACTGAGAGACACAGCATTCCAGGGCAAGATAAATGCATTTACGTGCCTATATTTGAGAAAATTAAAAGATTAAGCCTCTTTCATAGCTGGTGAGGTATATGTCAGACAGGATTGAATTCCCTGTAAAATAAAAATAATGGATAGCCTCCTTTATGCACCAGGGAGGGTGCAGGTGACCCATGGACTTTGTGCAGTTGGGATTTTTAAAATAACTGCTGCTAGCACAGCCACTCTGGGCTTCCTAGGAGATTCTGGAAGTACGATTTCTGAGTGCTTCTGGCTTCTCCACCCACTTTTTAGTTATAATATAGTAACTAAGACCTCCTGAATTCTTACTTTATGCCAAACACTGTGCTAAGTTTTTTACACGGATTCTTTTACGTAATTATTACTTGAAAATGTCATTTAACCTTGCTGAACCTCACATTTTTGTCATCTAGAAAAATATGTCCACTGCTCAGTGTGGATGTGAAGATTAAATTTGTTAAAATGTATGGAAATTCTTTGAAAACTCTAAAGCACTAGGTTTGGGGGTAAAATCTAAGTAAATTTAACAATATTAAACTACGTCCTTATCCATCAGAAGTGTCCAAAAGTATCCCTCTGCCTGATAACCAAAAATAATTTTACAAGTATACCTAATGCTTCTTTTAGAAAAAATTATGGTGAAATATACATGATAGTTAATATTTTAACTATTTATAAATGTGCAACTCAATGGTATAATACATCTGCAATGTTGTATAACCATCACCACTATCTATACCCAAAACTTTTAATCATATGCAACAAAAACCTTGTGTCCATTTAACAATAACTCTTCCTATTCACCTAGTAAGATAAATGCATTTATATATATATATATATCTTATATATATCTTATCTTATAAATATATCATATATATATACATATATATATCTGCGTATGTGTGTATGGGTGTGGGTGGTGGACATTGCTGATGGACACTTGGGTTGGTTCCACATTTGGCTTATTGTGAATAAGGCTGCTGTAAATACTGATATGCAAATATCTGTTTGAGTCCTTGCTTTCAATTCTTTTGGACATTTATGTAGGAGCAGAATTGTTGGGTCATATGGTAGTTCTATGTTTAACTTTTCGAGAAACTATCCAACTGTTTTCCACAGAAGTTGTGCCATTTTACATTTCTAGGAGCAATGCAAGAGTTCAAATCTTGTCATATACTCACCAACACTTGCTATGTTCCAATTTTTTTACCAAAAAAAAAAAAATATATAGCCATCCTAGTAGCTGTGAGATAATATCTCATTGTGGTTTTGATTTTCATTTTCCTAATGATTAATAATTTTGAGCGTCTTGTCTTGTGCTTATTGGAAATTTATATATCTTTCTTGGAAAAATATGTTAGCACTTTTGCCCAGTTTTTAATTAGGCTGTATGTTTGTTTGGTTGGTTTGTTATTGAGTTTCAGGATTTCTTAATATATCAGATGAATAGTTTGCAAATATTTCCTTCCATTGTTTGCCTTTTTACTTAATTTGAGTACACTCCAGTTTATCTATTTTTTTTTCGTTTGGCCTGTGATTTTGCTATCATATCCATGCAATTGTTGCCAAATACAAAGATTTATTCCTATGTTTTCTTCTAAGAGTTTTAGAGTTTTAGTATTTAAGTTTACATCTTAGATCCATTTGGGTTAATTTTTATATATTATTTAAGTAAGGGTTCAACTTCATTCTTTTGCATGCAGAAGCTACTTTTCCCAGCACTATTTGTTG